TCCTGCTGAGGCAGAGCAGAGGCAAGCCCGCAGCAGGGGCTGAACAGAGATTTCCACGGGGGGCATAAGGGAGCAGACCGTGACCCCTCGCAGCATCGCTGCGAGATGAAGGCGGGCACCTGCTCTGAGATGAAACGCCTGTGCGGGCACCCCGCTGCCTCGCAGAGCGGTGACGGGGAGCAGGGGAAAAACCTGTGCCCGTATGTGGCGTGGCTGGCTTCGTACGTGCAGTGTGACCGTCCCTGTGCAGCCCTGTGCGGTGCCGTGGTGGCCCGTGCGGTGCCGTGGTGGCCCGTGCGGTGCCGTGCATGGCATGATAGCTGGTGCACAGCGTGGTGGCCCAGCTTCCAGCCCCATCTAGCGGCAGCCATGCCCGGTCCCAAGCTCTCCCCGTTTGTTCGCAGGCACATCCCAGTGGTCGCGAGCGAGCGGACAGGGTGCCTTATCTCCCAGCTACGAAGGGAGCCTCCACACTTTAGTAAGTGTCGCCGGAAGATCTGCCTTCTCCTTTCCTCTTCCATCCCTTGCGCGCCTGGCGGTAAAGGGCTTTTGGGTGAAGTCCTCTCCCCCGAAGGTCTGGGGCCCAAAGGAAGGTGGTTAGTTGTTAGATGCCCATTTGGTTGGAAGCAGCTGAGCAGAGTTGGGCTCCTGCTTCCCTGAGCTCAGAGCCTGGCTGGCAGAGGCGCAGCCTTGCACCGTCCCCCTGTTTAGGGCCCGTTTGCATCCCTGGGGGTTTGGCCCAGCCGAACCGATGTCGGTCCGGTTTCTGCCTCCCTTTCCTGAGCGGTTCTGCTTGTGTGACCCCTTGTGCCTTTAGGGGATGGCGCTGACGGGGTCGGGGGTTATTTCTCCCGTACCTGCCTTGTGGTACCCGAGTGCGTGATTGCCGCCAGCCGTTCTTTAGTGTAGAGAGCTGCAGCGGGCTGCTGGCCCTACAGGCATTAACGCAGACCTATTTCTCTGTCCTGTCCTTCAAGCAAAACAAAATGGAAGACAGGTTGGATGAAGCCATCCACGTGTTGAGGAATCATGCCGTGGGCCAGACAGCCGCCATGCCGAGCAACCACGGGGACATGCACGGGCTCCTGGGCTCGGCACCGGCCCACAGTGCCACCGTGGGCAGCCTGGGCCAGGCCTTCCCTGCCTCGGTCATGTCCCTGGGGAACAGGCACCCGAGTCTGGTAAGTGTGGGAGCATCACGGCAGCTGGTGGGGACATGCCGGGGACCCACGTCGCGGGGTCCCCTGGCATCCAGGGGGACGTTGGCTTTGGTGTGACAGTAGCTCAGTGTGGTCCAGCTTGGGTCAGCCTTTGACAGCTTTGAACGGGTGATGTGCACAGAAGTGCAGTGGCTTGCTTTCTTTGTGCAGGGGGGGTTGAATCCATGCTCAGGTGGCTCTCGGGCACAAGCCCTGCATGCCGTTTGCTCATGCGCCTTCTTGGGGCAGGCAGAGGTGGTGAAAACTCTTTTTCTTTCCCTGCAACATGGATGGAAATCCCTCAGAACAGCTTCAGACTGTCCCCGGGATCCAGTGCGGGGCAGGACTGTGGGTATACAGAGCCTGGTATTGCCAGGACTTCTCTGCTCCGAGAGCTGCTCTGCACCACGTCCTTCCGTGCACGTGGGGAGTGCTGATGGGTGATGGCTCACGCAGGCTCCAGGGAGCGCGACAGGTCCTGGGTGCCCTGAGCACATGGATGCTGGGGTCCCATGCTGGGGTCACCAGGGTCCCCCCCCTGTCCAGAGGCTGGTGACCACAGGAGCACGTTTTTGGCAGAGCTGATTGCCTGCTGCAGCAAACACTAACGCGTCTCCGGTCTCTCTAGAGAACCAGACGTGCTTCCCTTCTGAGCTCCCCAGACTCTGCTACTAAGCGATGAATCATATGTGTGTCCTCTGTTGCAAACTGCTGCCAGCTGCAGAAATGAGAGCGTTTGCAGCAGGGCTGGCTCTGTCCTGCCGGTCTCTGGCCGGCGTAGCGCAGCCTCGGGATGTGTGGGCTCAGAAAGGCTGCCTGACCCTTGCCCTTTGCGTCCAGGCCCTTTGGAGTGAAGTTCACGCTGCTGGGATGTCCCCTGCTGCGGTGGCACTGGGGAGGTGGCAGAAATGTTGGTGTTTGATGGAGACAGGACACGTGCAGCCCAGGCAGGGTGTCCTCTCCAGTGTGCCAGCCTTGCATCCAGGCAGAGAGGCTTTTCCATGGCAGGGGGGAGACGGCACTGATGGGGGCTTTCTGCTTGGCCCAGCTGATGCGCAGGGCACGGGGCTGCTTTCTGCAGTGTCCCCGCCACGGTCCCCAGAGGAGAGCTGGTGCTGGAGCAGGTTGGCTCTTCCCTCCTGCATGCCCGCGCTCTGGGTGGTGGGGGTGTGCGAGGAGGGCACGCGGCTGCACCTCAGCATGGTCTGCGGAGCCCCGCGGCCGTGCTCTGGGTGCCTGTGCCCATGCCCACTGGCCATGACACTTCCCCCCCTCAAGGCTTGCTGTGCTTGTTCTGCTGTAGGTGGGAGGAGGTCACCCTGAAGATGGGTTGTCCAGCAACCCCAGCATGCTCCACAACCATGTCACACTTCCGTCACAGCCCAGCTCACTCCCTGACCTCAACAGGCAGCAAGACACGTACAGCGGTAAGGCGGCTCTGCACACGCGCACGCTTGAGGCTCGCCTGCCCCGGGGGTGATTCGGGCCACCCATTAGGTCCAGCCCTGTGCAGCAGCAGCCTGGGGGGAGATGGGTGCTCTTGCAAGGCCGGTGCTTCCTTGCAGCATCCGCAGGGCGGTTTCTACCTCGAGCCTTTTCCAGAGGTTTGACCTATGTGTTCCTGTCCCTCCTGCCAGCTGCGGGCGCGCAATGCCCCCGGGCCATGCTCTGCTGGGGGAGGTTGGGCTCTGACTCTGGAGGGCCTGGGAGGTGCGGGGAGAAGAACGGGGAGTGGTGGCAGGGCAGAGCCGGCGCCCTCCAGCTCCTCTTGCTGCGGACCGGCGATGCAGGATGAGTCCAGGATGCTGCGTGCTGGCAATGCAGCGCAGCAGGAGCAGGGCCTGGGAACCCCCCAGCCCTCCGTGCAGGTCAGGCCCCTTCAACCTCTGTGTGTGTGGTTCTGCTTCCTCAGCAGGCTTGTCAGGGGGGCTGGGACGAAGCAGCGTCTCCTCAGGAACCAGCGAAATAAAGAGGGAAGAGAAGGAGGACGAGGAGAACACGTCGGTGGCAGATAACTCGGAAGAGGAGAAGAAGGAGCTGAAACCCTCCCGGAACAGAACAAGGTGCTCTTTGAACAGGTCTCTCCCTTCACTTACTCTGTTACCAGGCTGGGGGCCTTTGGGCTGGGGTACGGCTGCGGTGACCTACCGGGCACTGGGCTCGGCCTGGTGAGGCCGGGGGTCGTCCTGCGGCACAGACCCACCAGCCCCTGCCCACCGCGGGAGCCTCGTCCGTCCTCGCAGAGGTGGCACAGCCCGGGCTCCTGCTGCTTCCCCGCGGCTGCCCGCTTTGGGCCGTGCTGGGGAAAGGTCCCTGCCGCCCTCTCCTGCTGGCTCCCGTCCCCATCCCCATGGCCACAGGGCTTCCCCGTGCTCATAAAGCAGAGGGCTCGCGCCTTGTCCCCATGAGCTGCGCCCGCCTGCGTGGTCGCTCAGGGCATTGCTTGTGGCCGTGCGTGGAAAGGCCCGAGTGCTCAGCTCCCCTCGGCCAGGGGCGGGGAAGGTTTTGACCTCCTCCCTGCTTTGGGTCGTCTCCGCTGTCTGCTTCGGGCTCCTGTATCCTCTGTCACATCCAGCCAGATATGTGGCAGCGGATCAGGTAGAGTCCTTCCAGCACGCTGGCTTGTCTACAACCTCGCCATCGGCTTGGAGACCTCGCCAGGGTGATGCTGCCCGGAGGGGCAGTGCCAGCCCCGCTCCTGCCAGACCGCAGCCCCCTCCTGCCCTGGAGGCAGAGGGCTGCATCTACCCAAAACGCCAGCTTGGGACACCAGGGTTGGCCCCCACACCTTCTCCGGGCCACCCTGCAACCTCCCGGCAACAAGCTCAGGCCTTAATCGCATTGTTGTGGTATCTTTCTTTGTTGTTTAAAAACAAAGCAAACAAAAAAAAAAATGAGGCAGAAGAAGAGCCTTAATTGCTTCTCTCCAAAGTCACTGCGCGTCCCCGTGTCTGAGCGCGGGGCACCGGGCCGGCACGTCCCGGCGGGGGCGCAGCACCCTGGCTCGTGGGGCCACGTGCGGGGCTTGGCGTCTCGGTGCCTCGACGTGTGTTTCTTTTCTGTGAGTTGACCAGTGCTGAGAGTGCACGCGAGGAATGTCCCTGTCTCGTTCTTATTTTAAACCATTAGTCAAGATGAGGATGAGGAGGACGATCTTCTTCCCCCAGAGCAAAAAGCCGAGAGAGAGAGAGAAAGGAGGGTCGCCAATAATGCCCGTGAGCGCCTGCGGGTCCGTGACATCAACGAGGCCTTTAAAGAGCTCGGACGCATGTGCCAACTCCACCTAAACAGCGAAAAACCGCAGACCAAACTGCTAATCCTACACCAGGCCGTATCAGTCATACTGAACCTGGAGCAACAAGTTAGAGGTCAGTGAGGGTCCCGGAGTGGTGATATTTTACGTATCTGATCGGCACGGGGCTGTCTGTCTGTCTGTCTCCTGTGACACGTGCTGTGGTGCCTCGCACTGTCTCTCTCCCCTGTGGCCTTGGGTTCCCAAGGCTGTTGATGTCTTTTTTTTTTTCCTTCCCCCCCCCCCCCCCTCTTTTTCTTTTCCTTCTCTTTTTTTTTTTTTTTCAT